GTTGGGTTTCCTACGAATCCGCAAGAGCGCGCGGGATGAGATTTTGACATTTTTTTGTTGAAAAACCATTGGTTTTTTGATGTTTTTATGTTAAAATCGCTCCGAACACTAAGCTTTTGGAAGGATTTCGTCTTGCGCGCGCGAATGTCCACTTTACCTTATTTTTTGCAAGGGATTCTTGAAATTTGATTATATTAGAACAAGAAATGTCATTTTATAGTGTTTTTTGCAAGGGAAAACGGATTACAACAAAACAACCGGATCTGGATCACATCGTTTTACCTGAGGCTTCCTCACGAAAATGATGAAAATGTAGCTGCGGCCTAGGCGCGGCGGGGGGGGCGTGCACCAGGGGGCCCAACAATAATTATTCTTTAGAATAATAATGTTCAACAACAACAGCAGCAGCAGCAGCAGCAGCAGCAGCAACAACAACAACAACAACAACAACAACAACAACAACAACAACAACAACAACAACAACAACAACATCTTTAAGACTGTTCGCCCTTATATGCTCGAGTGTCCAATAACGCGTATTTCCCAAACCCTCGATACCCGCCCTCGTCGTCTTCGATCGAACCCCTTTTCGGGGGTATACCTTTCTTCCCTGCAGGCCGGGCCCCGGCAAGCGGCAGGGCGGCCGCGGACCGTCCGCCTGGCCAGCGGCAGCGCTGATCGGCAGGGCGGCCGCGGACCGTCGACCCGACCCCAAGAGGGACGGACAGGGGACCGACCACGACGACGACGACGACGACGACGACGACGACGACGGCGACGACGAGCGAAAGCGAGAGCGAGAGAGAACGACAGCAGGGCCACGAAGGGCACGAAGTAGGCCACGAAGGGCTACAGCGGTGACACGAAGGGAATGCGTATGGGGCCACGAAGAACGCGAACGAGCGGGGGCCACGAAGGGCAAATAATGCGGGGCCACAAAAGGCAACTATGGGGCCACTGAGGGTAGCAACTGGGCCACGTAGGAAAGTGAGGGGGACACAAATGGCGACAGCGGGGCCACGAAGGGCATGCACATGGGGCCACAACGGGCGCGACTCCTGGGTGCCTGGGTGTCGGGAGCGCGGCGCTTGGGCAAATTGCAAGAAATTCCAACGCAAGGCCATTCATCAGTAAGTTTCAAGCAAGTCTCCAGCGAGAGCGCGACTCCAGAGCACCGGGAGAGCGATTCCTGAATAAATTGTAAGGAAGTCCCAAGCGAGAGCGCGATTCCTGAATAACATGCGAGGAAGTCTCAGGCGGGAGCGGGGGTCCTGGCTAAATTGCAAGGAAGTCTCAGGCGGGAGACGTTGTTGTTGTAACCCGGGGGCCAGGGGCCCAGTTTGAGCAGGAAGATTTTCCCTGTAAAAACCGGGTGCGAGCGTCGAGGGGCACACTTTTATTGAGAAAAACAGTATGCACCGGTGGGGGGATCAACAATAATGTGTCTTCAAAAATGAAGATTCAACAACAACAACAACAACAACAACAACAACAACAACAACAACAACAACAACAACAACAACAACAACAATGTTACCCTCATGCGCGATGTTTCCGCACGAAGCATGCGACCATCATGATAACCATCCACGTAATCGGGGACTCATGTTCTATAGCGGGGTCCGTTATTCCCATTCACAAATATCCCGCCCAATGAAATCTTGCAAACACCTCCTTCGAGGAATTTCAACATATCCCGCCTCGAAATTACATGCCCGCGCCTTGCTGCGCCGATGCGAGACCACCAGTGGAACCCCAGCGAAGGGTAAAGCACAAGGAAGTATCGAACGACAGGATTGCCTTGGTGGGGATGGGGGCTGTCGGCGGTGAGGCAAGGACCTGGCTCTGAATAGAAAGGGAGGAAGTCTCGAGCAGGGCTGCTGTTGTTGTTGGGAGCGGCGCCAATGCTGAAGAGGGTAGGGCGCTAAGCGTAAAACAGAACGAACTCTCGAGCGGGAACGCTGGTTTTGTTGGGACGGCGGTTTTCGGCGGCGAGGAGGAACACCGCCTTGAGTAAGAAAGGAGGAAGCATCGAGCGGGAGCCGTGGTTTTGTCGGGACGGGGGCTGTCGGCGGCGAGGAACAGCACCGTCCCGAGGAGAAAGAGAGGAAATCTCGAGCGGGAGCGTTGTTCTTGCTGGGAGCGGCGCCAATTCAAAAGAAAGAAGGGCGCCAGTCCAGCGTAAAACGGAAGGAAGTCTCAGGCGGGAGCGCTGGTTTTGTCGGGGCGGCGGTTTTCGGCGGCGAGGAGGAACACCGCCTTGAGTAAGAAGGGAGGAAGCATCGAGCGGGAGCCGTGGTTTTGTCGGAAGGGGGTTGTCGGCGGCGAGGAACAGCACCGTCTTCAGGAAAAAAGGGAAGCCTCGAGGGAGCGGCGCCAATTCAAAAAAAGAAGGGCGCCAGTCCAGCGTAAAACGGAAGGAACCCTCGGGCGGGAGCGCTGGTTTTGTCGGGGCGGCGGTTTTCGGCGGCGAGGAGGAGCACCGCCTTGAGTAAAAAAAAAAAAAGGAAGCCTCGAGCGGGAGCGTTGTTTTTGCGGGGGGCGGCGCCGATGAGAGAAAGACTAGGGCGCCAGTCCAAAGTAAAACAGGACGAAGTCTCGAGCGGGAGCGCGGGTTTTGTTAGCCCGGCGGCTTTCGGCGGCGAGCAAGAACACCAGCCCTGAGCAAAAAAGGAGGAAGTCTCGAGCGGGAGCGCTGTTGTTGTTGGGGGGCCGGTTTGGGCGGTTCCCCAAACCGCTCGAGCGTGAGCCTCATTTTCAATGAAAATGTAGCCGGCGCCTCGGCGGCAGCGTCAAGGCGCCTTTAAGGTGTCCAACAAAAAACAATTTCTTAGTGATTAACATTCAACAACAACAACAACAACAACAACAACAACAACAACAACAACAACAACAACAACAACAACAACAACAACAACAACAACAATCATTTTAAGACTGTTCGCTCCTATCTGCTCACGTGCCAATCTATATATATATATATATATCCCAAACCCTCGGTACCCGCCCTCGTCGTCTTCGATCGTACCCCCGTGGGGGTATATCTTCCTTACCTGCCACGTGTATGTAATGCAGCCCTTTAAGCAAGGGAAGAGAGGACGGGTGAAAGGGGGAGTTAGCAGAATGGAGCACGAGACAAATTAACAGGAGGGGGGCAAGGAGCAAAAAATAAGTGATATAACTAAACGGGCAGATCGGATGGGCAGACCCATGGCGGGCAGGTCGGGAAGGCGGGCCCAAGCGACGAGGTCGAGCAGGCGGGTTGCTGAAGCGTGGGTCCTGCATGAATCGCGAGGAAGTCTCGAGCGATAACGCGATTCAAAAGTAAATCGTGAGAAAAGCCAGCGTGGGCCACGAAGGGCATACAATCCGAGGCCACAGAGGGCAGCGACGGGGCCGCTGAGGGCAGCACCGGGGCCACGAAGGGCAGCGAGGGGGCCACAAAGGGCGACAGTGGGGCCACGAAGGGCATGCATATGGGGCCACGACGGGAGCGAGCGGGAGCCACGAAGGGCATTCGCATACGCGGCCACAAAGGGCGACGGCGGGGCCACTGAGGGCAGCAAAGGGGCCACGAAGGGCAGCGAGGGGGCCACGAAGGGCGACAAGAACAACGACGACGACAATAAAAGCAGCAGCAGCCGCAACAACCACAACAACCACGGCAACCACGCAACTCACGAAAACAACAACAGCAGCGGCAGCAACCACAACAACACCAACAACCTCATCATCACCAGCACCAGCATCATATCGTCATCCCCAGCTGCAGCACCACCTTCACCCTCATCATAGTCAGCACCATCATCATCAGCATCACCACCCTCATCATGATCATCATCATCAACAGCATTATCATCATCCGCACCATCCGAATCATCAGTCAGCCTACTCATCATCAGCGCCAACAACCTCATCATCATTATCATCATCACCACCATCATCATCCACAACCCTAACCTCACCTCAATCCTTATCAGCATCACCACCACGACCACCACATCAGCATCATCACCACCACAAGCATTGGCACCATAAACATCCTCAACCTCATCATAGTCCTAAGAATCATCCCGCCCGCGTTCCCTTCGTATCTCCACATCTCTTTTCGACCCCACATACACACACACACACACACACACACACACACACACACACGCACACACACACACACACACACACACACACACACACACACGCACACGCACACACACACGCACACCAGTTTCATCGCTCCAGATATCACCCCGTCCCTTCATCCGCCCACCCGCCCCTCCCCGCCCAACTTCGCCTCACCGAGCCAACCCACCCCGCTTCACCCCATCGCATCCCGCCCGATCCCGTCCGTGTGCCAGGCCGCCCTTCCAGCACTGCCGCCGATCCTCCCCGACTCACAAGACGGACAACTCGGAGGGACGGACGGCCTGCAGTGCAAAGTCTGCCGGCATTGGCACCACCGCGGGAGTGGCCGCACACGCCGCCATCCGTGGGAGAACGGCGGGTGGCGAATCGGGCAGGATCGACCTGCAGGCGCCCCTGGCGCAAAGGCGCGTCCGCCCATCATCCGCAACCGCCCTCGCGCCCCGCGTCGGCTTCCCCGGTCCGTCCCCTTCCCCCCCTGGCCCCGATCGGCCATCGCAAAACGTCCCCCCGCCGTGGAGCCGATGCTACTCCGCATCCCACGCCTCTGCCGCCGCAGCTGCCGCCGCTGCAGCCGCCCTCCTCCTCTTCCGTCTCCCCCATCCCCTTCTCCCCAAACTCCCAGCTCTCACCTCTCACGTTCCGCCCTCCCGCCTCCCTCAGCACCCCCGCTCTCCCCATTCGTACTCCCTATTAGTATTCCCTTTCCCTCCTCCATGTTCGTATCTTCAGTCTCCTTCGTCCCCACCCTGGCATCCCTCGTGCGCCTCAGCATCGCGACCCATTCCTTCTCAGTAACTGGCGCGGTGACCTGAATTGACGTTCTGATCCCCCGCTATGTCCTACCCAAATTTGGCGTCCTCGCAGCGTCCGTGTGCTCGACGTGCTGCAGGTACGGGTCCACATCGGCATCTGGTGGTGCGTAAGGGTCCGCCACCGCCTGGGGGAGACTCTCCACTCGCACCATCGTCAATACTGCCGCCACCACTTCAGAGGGCGCTTGAGTTCAATTTGCATTTGCCACTGGCGCCACCGAAACCAATGATCTTGGCGCCAACATGACTACAATCAGTCCCATCGTCACCAAACCATTAAATCACGCAACAAGTGTGGAAACTTGTGGACGTGTGGACCCCCATGTGTGCGGAACCTTGCGAGTGTGGAGCACCATGTGTTTCGACCCTGTGCGCATGAAACCCGCTGCGTGTGGAACCCCAAAGCGAGCCTGGTCCAAACACGCACCAGATCGTGCACCATGCACGGCAACAGTGGCGGGGAGCCACACTGATTGTTGGGAGGCCGAGCCACAAGGATTCACACCGCATCAGAAGTGCGACAAGCGTGACTAGTGGGGCTGAACGCCACGGGGATCCATTCTGAAGCCAAGACAGAAGGACACCAGCATCCACCACCTGCAACGAACAGACCCACACGTTGTAGATCTGAAGATGCGTGTTTATATCTTTTTAAACAAAAAACTGAAACATACGTACAACGTGTGGAATAGTCGATAAAATACAAACTACGCACCTAACGCTGTATGTGGGGAACCCAAGTACCATGAGTACACATCAACGCACGGGTGACACTGCGAACGCGACGGTTGATGCGGTTCTGCCGCGAACTATATCGTACAAGACCTAGAAGGGTTACACCCACGAACACGGACGACAATGTTCACGATGGTGCCTGCGCATGGACCATCCAACACCTGACCCATGTGGCAGTGTGCGTGGAAGCCTCTGCGTGACCCCTTTGTGTTCGTGGAGCCCCACATCTGTGGAACTTGAAGTGTGAAAGCCGATGTCCGAGCGAAGACTAAAAAATGAATACCAGATCCACGGATCGGGGAGGGTATCCGCCGCAGCATGACGCCACTGCCGCCTGATTTGGCGGTAAAACGCGCCGACTCTGCACGGAAAAGGGACCCGTCGCTAATCCACGCGCCTTGGTCACGCATACATGTGCAAACATACTAGAAGTGTTCGAACGCACTCCGCGCGCTTTCGAAGTAGCACGCAACGTGGGCGGCAATCGAAATCGTTCCGGCAAGGGCCTTCAGTCTCCAAGGGATCCCCAGACTGCCATGGACTCTCGCGCGCACTCCACGAGCGCTCAAGTTTTAGTTTCTGCAAGACCCTTTCGCAGGCAGCGCTTCGCACCAGTAGCTGCCACTCGCTCACTGCCTGTGCTTCGGAATACTATGATAACTCTTGGTGTGTGTTGTTGATATTGTGCTGGCTGTTCTTCCTTACCTGGTGCCGCTCCACGGAGCAGCGTGTGTGAGATTAATGGATAACTCAAATTTCCTGTCCTCGCTGCTGCTGCTGCTGCTGCTCGGCGTCCTCCTCTTGTACCGTCTCCTCCTCCTCCTCCTCCTCCTCCTCCTCCTCCTCCTCCTCCTCCTCCTCCTCCTCCTCCTCCTCCTCCTCCTCCTCCTCCTCCTCCTCCTCCTCCTCCTCCTCCTCCTCCTCCTCCTCCTCCTCCTCCTCCTCCTCCTCCTCCTCCTCCTCTTTCTCCTTGCACCACTCCCTCAGGCGCCCGTCTTGCCCAGGATGCCGTGGCCCCTCAAGTATGACCCGGATTAGGTCCCGAAGGAAAACCAAAAAGACAAAAGCGTGCTGAGCAACCAGCATGGTGGCCGCGAACATGTTTCGTCAGCGGCGAGGCGGCGAAATCCGCTCCAGCGAGAAGCTAGAAAGGGGCACTACCTAGCGAATTGGCCGGCGGGCAAAGAGAGAGGGGGGGACGGCCGAGAGGAAGAAGGGACGCTCAGACGCCGAAGAATTCGACGATGAGCAGCCGAGGGGGGGCAGCAGCAGCCAGGCGCGCAGGGCCAGAGCGCGGTGGGCGGCACGGTGGCCTCGAACATGAAGGGACATACAAAAGGGGCTCTCTCGGTGTGCCGGCCGGTAAGCTAGCCCCATTTCCTCTTCTTCTTCTTCTTCTTCACCTACTCTGCTGGCGACGGGTCTCGTCCGTCTCCGCAGCACTGGCCCCCCGCGCCCGCAACTCTCACCCGTGGATGGAGTGGCAAACCACCAAAATGACAGTAGGACAAATTGCACGCGTTTTTGTATTCGACATTGGGCGGCAAGGGGGGGGAAAGGGGGGGGTCTGGTTCCAGACCTCTGCTGAGTGCGGCTGTTTGCAACCGTGCGACCTCTTAGGGAGGCTCCACCCGCTCGAAAGCAGGCGCCAAAAAACAGCCAAGATCTACTCCATGGGGAGGTGGAGGGGGTGCGAGTGCCCGCGCCGATCGGCAAAAAAACGCTCACCTGGTGGGATTCCCGTCTGTCTGATGAGGGGTCTCTCAAGGCCCCCTGTGCGGAGCACTGCAGAGGGCTTCTGGGAACTCCTGAAGGGGCGTGTTGGTGACTTCTGCAGATGATGTGAAGGATACATTCAAAAGATCAAAGCTGGAAAAAGTTGGCATTGCATCTTGCCTCCGGTCTGGGGGGGGTCCTCGTGAGGCCCTTCTCGCCCGTGGGCGGAGCCACAAGCTCACAGAGGCACGACATCGCAAAGAGTTGTCCTTTTCTCCTGCATCTGATTTTGAGTCTCGTGGGACCTTGTGGTGGGACTCCAGTCTGTCTGGGGGGTCTCTGAACGCAACTGCGTGCACTATGCGTAGAGGGTTTCTTCTAGCCTGTGCGGGGCCGTCTTGGCGCCTTTTGTGGATGATGTGGAGGGCACCCAGAAGGGCAACAGTGGGGAAATGTGTCCTTCTTATCGTGTCTCTGGTTTGGGGCGGTCCTCGCAGAGTCCTTGTGGCCCAGAGGCTCTCGCATTGCCCGCCACGGCGGTTCCTAGGAGCCTGCAGTCGACACACCCCGCACGCACATCGTCTCACCTGGACCTCCAGATATATCCAGCTCGCATGTTTAAGACGATTCACAAAAGCTACATGGAACAGTGTGCGCACCCCCACTTTGTGCCTGATGGAACCCCAGAAGCGCACAGACATCTCCCAAGATGGCTTGGATCCCCACAGGACGCCAATACCGCCCCAACAGAAACGTGGCACGGAGTTCGGGCCCTGCCGACCCTCGTCGAAGCCGTACCCCCGAAGACCCACTGATGGCAGGATTTGCGGAGGCCCGCGCCGTGACTCCCGCTCTGCGGGCTCGACGGCCTACAGGCCAAGAGGAGGAGAGGGAGGACGGGAAGGGAGAGACGGACGGGGGGCGGGGGAGGGGAATGGCGGGCAGCTGGGGCCCGCCAGCGCGCTGAGCTTCCCCAGCTCGCAGATCACCTGACCTGTCGTCGGAGTACCGCACAGCTGACGACGATCCTCTGCCAAGTGAGCTGTCGTCACTTCAGCGAGACCTAGCGCGTCATCAGTACTCTTGGGAGCGTGCGCCAGGCGCCAGCGTCAGTCGTGGTGTTTCCATTGATGTTGCCGTGTTGTTGCAGCGCGGCTGGATTGTATCTGCCCGGTGTCGGCATGTTACGTCGCTGTACTGTATTGTATGGCACTGATGTACATCGCATCTGCATTGTGGGCTTTGTTGTGCTGATGCTGCATCGCGGTGTCCTGGCATGAGTTTTGTCGATGATGATTATTGCATTGAATCGCATTGCTCTCGCCTACACTGCCACACATTGAGAATTGCGTTGCGTTGCGTTGCTGCGGCACCCTCTCTCGCTCGCCTCCTCCGCTCCTCCTCCCCCCTCCTTGCCCACGCGCCTCCACGGCATCCCCCGGCTGCAGGTAGGGATCTACAGCGCCGGCAGCGTCCTGAGGGGCCCCCCGAGGAGGACCGGCCACAGGAGGACGAGGACTGGCCGTGCGGGAAGGCGAGGGCAAGGCACTGGCCGCGGAGGGCAAATCATGGCCGGCGGCATGTGCGCGGCCCAGGGGGGGGGCGGGGACGTGTTGAAATAGGAAGAGGCGCCACGAAATCTGGGGAGACATCATGGCCCCCGCCATGATATCTCTCCCCCCCTAGTGTATAGCCCCCCTCTGTGCCGCCCCCGAAAAGAGCGGGAGCGGGAGCGAGGAACGGGAGCGGGACCCGGGAAGGAGAGCGAGAGAGCGTCAGCGGGCAGCGGGCAGCGGGCAGCGGGAGCAGGCGCAGGAGCAGGAACCCTCGGGAGGGGAGGGCGTCGAACATGGGAGGGCGCCGGGTGCACACGAGCACCGATCGTGGCCAGGCAAAAAAACCTGGGCCCATGATCGGTGCTCGCGCCTGCCTGGCTTGGCCTAGGCGGCGCGCACACCGCCCGTGGGCCCAGGACGTGGCCTGGCCCGGATCAGTGCTGTAAGCTTGACGTCCCCCGAGAAGGCCCCCCCCCGCCTCGCCCTCTTCCCAAACCCCCTGGGCGGTCGCCGCAGGTCCCTCTCCAGGGCTTGGCAGCGCGCTGAAGGTGGCAGGGCGAGGGGGGGAGGGCGGCCTGGCACGAAGGCAGGGGGGCAGGGGGCTTCCCACAAGCCTCCATGCCCTTCTGAGAAGCCTTTTTGCTGCAGCCTCAGCCCCCCCTGGCCTTCTCAGAAGGCCGCCACCCCTCGCCCGAAGGCCCCCCTTCGCCCGCCGCCGGCATCCCTCTGCCTTCCCAGCGTCCTCCGCCTCTCCGGCAACGGCGGCAGCCGCCGCACCTCCAGGCTGAGGGGCCGTGGCCACCTCCGCGGCGGCGGAGGCGGCCTGCCAAGGGCGACACGGCGGGGACGGTTCCACAGAGAACCAGCGAAGAGGACTCCGCTTGGGAACAAAAGCACATACACAGACATGAATTCCCCAGACAGTGCTTGCATCTAAGGGTTCTTACTTCTGATCCAAAGAACTGGGCTGGTGTGCCGCTCTGGCGGCTATGTTGCCGCCGTCGCCACCCCGTCGCCGCCCCGTCGCCGCCTCGTCGCCGCCCGTCGTCTGGGCCGGTGCCGCTCTGGCGGCTATGTTGCCGCCGTCGCCGCCCCGTCGCCGACTCGGCGCCGCAAAGTGGGTTGCTCCACATAGAGTGCATTACAGAGATTGCACAACATATATTGCACCGCATAGATTGCACAACATAGACTGCATAACGTATGTTGTAATATGTTAGCCAACGTGGACCCCAACATATGTGCTTTGAGCATTGCAATATATGTGGCGCAGTCGATATACATCGATACATACATACATACATCCACACATACACACATACATACATACATACATACATACATACATACATACATACATACATACATACACACACACATACATACATACATACATACATACATACATACATACATACATACATACATACATACATACATGCATGCATGCATACATACATACATACATACATACATACATACATACACGCATGGTGCAATACATGACGTGCGATCGATGTTGTGCAATGCATGTAGTGCACCAAACGTGGTGCAATCGATGCTGTGCGAAATATTGATATATATATATATATATATATATATATATATATATTGTGCACTGTATGTGGTGTACTTTGTTGTGCGACGTATGTAGTGCCACCTATGCTGTGAGCGATCAAAAAACGGGCGTCAGGAGCGAAAAACTAGTCGTGCAATACATGTGCTGCAATCCATGGAATACAATATATGCGGTGCAATATTTGTGGTGCAATCAATGTTGTGCAATGTGCAAGATGTGTGTTGTGCAAAAAATGCGGTTGTGCACGATTTGTTGTGCAGACTATGTGGTGTAGTCTACGTTGCGCAATACATATATACATGTGTATGTATATGTATGTGGTGCAATGTATGTGGTTGTGCACTACATGTTGTCCTACATTTGTGGTGCCATTTAGGTTGTGCAATATACGTGGTGCCCCCTTACGGCGGTATGTTGTGAGCGATTCAAAAGCGCGCCGCAGGCGCCTCTGTTTTTTCGTGCAATCGATGTGGTGCAAACTAATGGCGGCGACGGGCGGCGACGAGGCGGCGACGAGTCGGCGACAAGGCGGCGACGGCGAGTACACAGCCGCCAGACCCACAAAACGGCCCAAACGACAGGCGGCGACGAAGCGGCGACGGGACAGCGAGGGCGAATATGTAGCCGCCAGACCGACAAACCGGCCCAGTTCCTCAGAAGACGAGTAAGAAAGCCTCAGTGTAAGCACTTTTTGAGGAAACTAGATTGTATCACATAGACTACACCACGCAGGCTGCGCAACATATATTGCATAACATAGACTGCACAAAAAGTCTTGCACCACATAGACTGCACCACATGCACTGCTCCACATAGATTGCACCACAACAATTGCACCACATAGATTTGCACCACATCGATTGCTCCACATCTGTACAACACTGATTGTACCACGTAGTTGTACAACATATATTGCAGCACATGAGATGAGATGCACAACATAGGTAGCACAATATAGTTTGCACCACATTGACTGCACCACATAAATTGCACAATATATACTGCACTACCTCGACTGCACAACCTCGATTGCACCACGTGTACTGTATAATCCACAGATTGCCCACCACATATATTGCACCACAAAGATTGCACAACAAAGACTGCTCCACATAGACTGCATCACATAGCTTGCACCACATAGATTGTACCAGATGTATGTTTCATAAATATATGAATGGGTGTATATATATATACATATATAGGTGTGTATCGTTCATCGTCGGTTGTAAGGCATACATTGCACAACATATATTGCACTACATAGGTTACACCACATGTACTGGGGATTGCACGGCATATATTGTTCCACATAGATAGCACCACATCTATTGCTAGAAAGACAGTTTAGGGGTCCACGCTGGGTGCCATAGAGATTTCACGTATATGAAGATATCAATGACAGCATAAAAATAAGTACACAGCTTGCATGGGGAGGCGGGAGTTGAGGAGAAAGGGACGGAGGATGCTAACGATAAACAAGATCTGCTGCAGGAGCGGGAGTGAGTCACAGGAGCCCAGCACAGAACACTTTCTCCTCCTCCTCCTCCTCCGACTCCTCACTCCATGTGTGTACCCCTCCTCATCGCCTCCACTCCTCCATCATTGTCCTCCCCAATATCTCTTTGCTTCTCTCTCGCTCTCTCTTTCTTTTCCTTCTTTCCACCACCCCGACTGCCCTCCGGTCCTCCCTTCCTCGTCCTGTTCGTCCAATCACTACCACGCTCACACTATCACCGACACACTCACAATATCATCATGATCATCAACATCACATCGCCATCAATGTCCTCATGATCGTCATCATAAACATCATCATGATCATCATAGTCGTCATCGTCATCACCGCCATCTCCATCATCAGCACCATCGTCGTCCTCGCCACCCTCCTTATCGTCACCATCATTACGACCATCATCATCAGCATCAGCATTATCATCATCCCCATCAACAACATCAGCGGCAACATCAACATCAGCATCACCAACCACAACGAACATGTTTCAGACTGATCGCTTCGATCTGCTCGTGTGCCATGCAATGCGTATATCCCAAGCCCTCTGTATCCGCCCTATTCGTCTTGGACCGTACCCCCTTGGGGTATACTTTCCTTATCTGTCACGTGCATTTAGCGCAGCCCCTAAAACAGGGGAAGAGAGGACGGATGGAAGGGGGAGGGGGAAGGATGGAACAGGAGAGAAATTAGCACGAGGGGGGCCAGCAGCAGAAAACAGAAGGCGGCCCAGGCGGCCAGGTCGAGCAGGCGGGTTGCTGAAGCGTGAATCCTGAATCGCGAGAAAGTCTCGAGCGATGACCATGTAAACCGTGAGAAGGGCCAAAGCGAGAGCGTGATTTCTGAGTGTCGAGGGCGCGGTGTCTGAATACACTGCGAGAAAGTCCCACGCGGGAGCGCGATTCCTGCATGAATGGTCAGGCAGGAAAACCCGCGCAAGAGCGCGATGTTGGAATGAATTGTTGGGAAATATCAGGCGGGAGCCGTTGTCGTTGTAGTTCGGGGGCCAGGGGAGCAGTTTGATGCTCAAGAATTGCCCTGATGTTTTTCGACAAAAATAGGGTGCAAGCCACGGGAGGGGCACTACAAGTGGAAAAACTACCATGTGCGTTGGACAAGGGGATCCACACTAATTTGTTCCACAACAAC